ATCCGCTTCCTCCCAGTGACGTCATATACATAAGCGAGTCAATCAGATGTGTTAATTCTGACCTCACGTTACCTTCAAGCCAATCAGCTTCACCTCCTCACCGTTACGTCACAAGTAGCTGAATCAATAGGCATCTTTCATCTGAAATCACATCGACAGTAATCACACCAGCTGCCTTATTCTAACGTCATAGATTGCAGACTGTAGTAACATGTTAATATTTGTATTCTTAGTGGCATCAATGTGTCATACGTTGACGTCATATACGGAGTAGACCAATCAAATATTTTCGTCGACGTTATATACGGAGTAGACCAATCAAATGTCCCCGTAGGCGTCATATATGGAGTAGACCAATCAAATTTCTTCGTCGACGTCATATACGGAGTAGACCAATCGAATGTCTCTGTCGGAGTTATAAACGGAGTAGACCAATCGAATGTTTCCGTCTACGTCATATACGGAGCAGACCAATCAAGGTGTCTCCGTGGACGTCATCTCGACTAGCGGCGACCAATCGTGGCTACGGATGATGTGACGTGTAGTAGCCACGCGGATCAATAGTCATGACACCGCGTGACATCACAACAGATGTCTTGGTGAGCGCCACAAGTCCACTCAGGAAGTGTACACAGTTTCCCTCCTTCACCTCACTGTTTGTTTCTTTGTCGCCATAAATCAAGGTTGTTTTTTGTTTTTGTTGTTTTAATCGTTCGTGTTTTGTTTCTTCACTTTATTGTGTGTATGGGTAAAATGTATGTATGAATCCGCGTATTTATTCGTGAATTCTTGTTGTTGTTAATAGTAATAATACGCAAACATACTGACAACGGGAGCTTGACCTCACACCTCGTTATCTAACCTAACCAAACTGACCACAACACATCCTTCCCCCTCCATATCCTCCCCCTTCTCCCCCTATCCACATCCTCCTACCCCCTACATCCACCACCTCCCTATCCCCCCCCCTCCCTTTATTTTGTTCACGGCTGCCAACTCTTCCGTCATACCATAGATAGAAGACTCCTGTGTGTTGGGTGCCCTCGAGAACATCATTTGTGTTGGTACTACTGACACTTCCTTCAGGTGGTCGTCTCTCTGGGCTGAGTTGTCGTTTTGAGATCATATTTATTTCTGTTCAAATTCGTTTATGTAGAAAGAACACGAGTGGGATATTTGTGTTTGCATATTAATAAACATAAAGGGAATCACCTAAATTCTAACCTAACAACCCAACCCATCTAGGCGACGTTGGGGTACCTAAACATCAGGTGAAATAAGCTAGGGTGGGGCTAATTTTCAGGTGAACCGTAAATGATAATCCGTGTTTGGAATGTTTTTAAGTTGGTCTAATACGCAGACTGTTGTAAGGTCATGCGCGGGTTTGTCATCCGATGCATCCATGACCAGCCAACACTGAGAGCAAATAAATGTACACTTGGTTTGCGATTTACACTTACTATATATATGTCAAAGAGAGAGAGAGAGAGAGAGAGAGAGAGAGAGAGATCGGACGATAAGAGGGAAAGTCATAATTAGAGAAAGTAAAGGTGAAAGTTAACGAACAATATATAGAGCTGCTGTAATTAACATGTACCCTCCCCTCAGACACACACCCGAGGAGGGTAAGGATATGTAACTGAGGAAGAAGTCACCTGACCGGGGGCGAGAAACTCCCCTCCCCACTCTCTCTCTCTCCCCTCCCCTCCCCACTCTCTCCCCCTACCCTATTTCTCTCCTCCCCACCCAACCCTACTTCTCTTCTCCTCATCCCCTCTCTCTCTCCATCTTACATAAACATAATCTGTTCCGTATTATCTTTGTACCTGAAGGGCGGGGGAGGCTGGGGAAAGTGGCGGGGGGGCTGTGTTATTGTTGCTGCTCCTTGCTACCTGGGGGTGGATTAGGTTAGTGTTAGGGTGTTTAATCTTTACGTGACTCCTTAAACATATTTCGTTAATCTCACGTGACATCTTGATCTGTCGTGTGCTTGTCTATCAGTCTCTTGGGGGTTAAACATCATCTTCTCTCTCTCTCTCTTCCTCCATTCTTTCTCTCTCTCTCTCTCCTTCCTTCACACCTCTCTTTGTACTTTATCTCACTCTCCCTCCCCCACTTCTTTCCTTTCCTTCTCCTCCTCCCATTCTTTTCCTCCTCCTCCTCCTTCCTCCGAGAGCACGTGCTGGGGGTGGGGCCCTCTTTCAGTGACTTCAGGATGGACTGAGAAATGAGAGAGGAGGAGGAGGAGGAGGTACAGGAGGTAGGATGAGGAGGAGGAGGTACAGGAGGTAGGATGAGGAGGAGGAGGAGGTACAGGAGGAGGATGGAGGAGGAGGACAGGAGGTAGGAGGAGAAGGAAATAGGAGGAATTACATGAGGTAAGGAGAGTAGGTTCGTGTTAGCCTCTCTCTCCCAGGTGACGTAGCTGCTGCCTCATCATCAACAGGTGTGGGGTGTGGTGAGTGGACGTCTTACCTGTGATACACCTTACCTAACCTTACCTGGTGTCACGGCTCGGCTCATTTTACTTCGACAAGTGACGTCAGTGGTGTGTGTGTGTGTGTGTGTGTGGGCGCGCGTGCGTGTGTGTGTGCGTGTGTGTGTGTGATGGAGGGTAATAAATGTGAGGTCTTTATATAAACTATGAACCAAACTTCAATATCAATGTAGTTACACCTTCCTCTCCCTCCCTCCCTCACCCCTCCTCTCACCTCCCCCCTCTCCCCCCTCCCTCCTCTCCCCCTTTCTCAGGATGGTTTATACAATGGACGTCTCTTTAAACATTACACAAGAACACTGAGACAAGACTTACACCTGACACCTACTACTATTAAGTTACCTGCTGCTATTAAGTTACACCTGCTGCTATTAAGTTACATCTGCTGCTATTAAGTTACACCTGCTGTTGTTACACTGCTAAGTTACACCTGCTTATTAAGTTACACCTGCTAAGTTACACCTACTACTATTAAGTTACACCTGCTGCTATTAAGTTACACCTGCTGCTATTAAGTTACACCTGCTGCTATTAAGTTACACCTGCTGCTATTAAGTTACACCTGCTGTTATTAAGTTACACCTGCTGCTATTAAGTTACACCTGCTGTTATTAAGTTACACCTGCTGCTCATATAACGATTTAATAGAACAACTCGGCTTATTTTTACCTTAAGATTAACTAGCCAATAGCCATCGCTCTCAAAGGGTTTATACGTGGTTTTCTAAAGCTTAATCTATCGTTCTCAAAGGGTTAATCCATAGCTTTCAGGGGGGGTTAAACCATCGTCCTCAAAAGGCTTAAGCCATAGTTCTCATATGTATAAATTAATCTACGGGGAACTTATATTGGATCACCTGAAAATTAGGCACCCCAGCTTATTTCACCTGAGGATTGAACACCCTAGCGTTACCTGGGGGTTAGGTTAGGTTAGCAATAGAATATTTTAATCATCAAGTGAAGTAAGCTCGGGTGCCTAATCTAAAGGTGACCAGGTGTATGGCCCCAGGTGACCAGGTGTATGGGGTGACAGGTGTATGGCCCCAGGTGACCAGGTCAGGTGACCATGGCCCCAGGTGACGAGGTGTATGGCCCCAGGTGACCAGGTGTATGTAATGGCCCCAGGTGACCAGGTGTATGGCCCCAGGTTTACCAAAGGTGACCGGAGGTGAGGTGTATAACAGGTGACCCAGGTGTACCCAGGTGAGGTGTATGGCCCCAGGTGACCAGGTGTACCAGGTGTAGGTTGCCCCAGGTGACCAGGTGCGGCCCCAGGTGACCAGGTGTACCCCCCAGGTGACCGGCCCCAGGTGTGTATGGCCCCAGGTGACCAGGTGTATGGCCCCAGGTGACCAGGTGTATGGCCCCAGGTGACCAGGTGTATGGCCCCAGGTGACGAGGGGTGTGGCGGCCCAGGGACCAGGTGTATGGCCCCTGCACCAGGTATGGCCCCAGGTGACGAGGTGTGGCGGGCCCCAGGTGACCAGGTGGCGGCCCCAGGTGACCACAGGTGTGGCGGGCCCCAGGTGACGAGGTGTATGGGCTCCCCAGGTGACGAGGCAGTGTATGGGCCCCAGGTGACCAGGTGTATGGCCCCAGGTGACGAGGTGTATGGCCCCAGGTGACCAGGTGTATGGCCCCAGGTGACCAGGTGTATGGCCCCGGCAACAAGGGGTGAGGGTGACAGCGTACATGGTTGTTATCGTTGTTGCTATACAGTCACCTGCTGATAAGCCTTATCTACCTGCGCTATCTGAAAAACCTCTTCTCTTTGTGTCGAGTCATGTAAGTTACAGCTTGATACTGGAGAGTGATATATAGATAATGAAACCGTTTATTTAGCCAGAAGAACACAGGTATAGAGTCGATTAAAAAATTCTAATATTAGCATGACTGAGCCTATTGAAAGAGAGAGAGAGAGAGAGAGAAAGAGAGAGAGAGAGAGAGAGAGAGAGAGAGAGAGAGAGAGAGAGATTCACTAATGATATAAACAAGACGACCTCAACGCCATCTATGTTTTAGTGAGATAACTCGGCCTCCTTATCATCGACCAGCACCGGTTTGTTTATCATCACTTGTTTAAGAAAAGCAACGTTTGTTTACATAAGTCAGTTATTAGATAATTCCTCAGGACATATTATTTGTATTTAGGCTTTTGTTAACTAATGAATTTATAATTGTAGTTGTTTGAGACATCATATTTAACCCTATACAATCATTTCTGTTTCGTATTCCTGGCAAAGGGTTGTGAGTTGTGATGGGTTGTAGGGGTTAGGTTAGGGATGGAGGCAGAGGAGATGAAGAAATTATTAATAAACCTGAAAACAAATTGACCTGTATTCCTGCCAGGTGAGACAAGACGTGGGTCACACCTTCGTCGGGTCATTTTGGTCACGTCACTGTCCTTGTGTGTGTGTGTGTGTGTGTGTGTGTGTATCATCATAATCCTGACTACCCTGTTGTAAATATCATGTTGTTGACCTTTGATTGACCTTGTGCCACAGGTGAGAGAAGTGCCAGCAGCGGGGAGAGTGAGGGCGGGGGAGCTGACCCCCCTAAAGACGCGCCCCCCAACGGTCGAGTCTCCGGCACCCCCAGGGAAGAAGACTCCTCCGACACCGACATGGAGATAAAGAGCCTCGACCTCACAGGTGAGTCTTAATGAGGTGATTAATGAGTCCCACCTGAGTTAATGACAGGTGGTGAGTTAATGACAGGTGGTGAGTTAGTGACAGGTGGTGAGTTAATGACAGATGGAGAGTTAATGACAGATGGAGAGTTAATGACAGGTGGTGAGTTATTGACAGGTGGTGAGTTAATGACAGGTGATGAGTTAATGACAGGTGATGAGTTAATGACAGGTGTTGAGTTAATGACAGGTGGAGAGTTAGTGACAGGTGGTGAGTTAGTGACAGGTGATGAGTTAATGACAGGTGGTGAGTTATTGACAGGTGGTGAGTTAGTGACAGGTGTTGAGTTAATGACAGGTGTTGAGTTAATGACAGGTGGTGAGTTAATGACAGGTGTTGAGTTAATTACAGGTGATGAGTTAATGACAGGTGGTTAGGTTAAGTTAGGTTAGGTTACAATTTTGGTACTTAATTTTAAATTGAATTAAGCTGAGGGACTACTTTAATCTTCATATGATCCAAATAGATGAGCTGATTGTTAACAAATCTTTAATTTACTTGTTGTGACGTGTTGTGAAGTGTTGTGACGTATTGTGACGTGTTATGACTTGCTGTGGCGTGTTATGACGTGTTGTGATGTATTATGACATATTATGACGGTTACAGCGCGCGTGAGCCTTCGGGAGCGCGAGGGACCAGAGAGGGTGCGACCTATGTCCTGGGAGGGTGAACTCTCTGACCCAGACCTAAGCAAGCAGCCCGCCCAGGTGAGTGTTACCTTCCTCTCTCTCTACCTCTTAATTAAGGTGTATCTTCGCTTTATGTTTTCCAGAGGTCAGTCATCGTCTTAATCCTCAGGTAAGTGGAGAGCTTCGTCTGTGTTTATTACCTGTCGTTAGCGAACTCCAAGCGACCCTTTTTTTGTGAGTAAGTCTTACCCTTATGAGTTTAGGTGGTGGACAAATATAAGAAAATACGTCAAAATTTCGAGAAAACTTAAGAAAATATGTCTAAATTTCGACAGATTTAAGAAAATACGTTTACATTTCGACAAAGATAAGAAAATACGTCTAAATTTCAACAAAGGTAAGAAAATACGTCTAAATTTCGACAGATTTAAGAAAATATGTCTAAATTTCGTGTCTTTGGGGGATTTAATTACAGGTTTCATCAGGCGACATAATTATCTATGGAAGAAAATCTTGACTAATTAAGTAGCAACGGATCACCTGCAGACTAGTCCCCCCTAAGGCTACCTGCAGCTGGGTTAGGTTTAGTTAGCGTTGGGGAATTGATTAATGTTCAGGTGAAATAAGCTGGAGGGCTAATCTTCAGACAGAAATAAGCTGAAGGGACACATTTTCCAGGTGAAATAAGCTGGAGGGACTAATCTTCAGGTGAAATAAGCTGGAGGAGCTAATCTTCAGGTAGAAATAAGCTGGAGAGCTAATCTTCAGACGAAATAAGCTGTAGGGGACTAATCTTCAGGTGAAATAAGCTGGAGGGGGACTAATCTTCAGGTAATCCAATATCTATTATGAACCCCACCACAAGATACGGTTAATTAGCCCCTTAAGGTACTATAATCGAGGACAAGTCGATTAAGTCATTGTGTTGGTGATTATTTTTCTATGTTAGGAAACTTGATGATCCTTCAGTGAGACAGACACACACACACACACATGTACACAGATATACACACACACAGACGCACACAGAAATAGGCATACACACATATAGAGAAAAACACATACATACACACACAGAAACAGACACTCACAGAAACAGACACATACAAAGATAAAAACACACACACACACACACACACACACACACACACACACACACACACACACACACATGCACACACAAACAGGCACACACATAAAGAGATAAACACACACAAAGCGAGATATAAACACATACACTCATACAGAAACAGACACACACATACACACACACACACCCACACACACACACACACCTGAAGGCAGTGTAGCGTTAGCATTGAAGAAAGAATGAAACGTAGTCGCTCTCAAAGGCTCTTCTGGTATCAACTCTGTAAACTTCATCTCTTAGGAAACCGTAGCGACTATAAGAGCTGGTGGCTTCTGTCTCTCTGTCTGTCTGTCTGTCCTGTGAATGAATGCTTCCTTTCCTCATTCTTCTCTCACTCATACATTTTACTCATTCATTCATTTACTCATTCAGTTACTCATACATCAAACTAAGCTCCGTTACTCACCTGTTCACTTCGCTAAACCCACTAACTAATTCACTAACTCACTAACAAATTCACTCACTCACTCACTCACTCAGTCCGCGGTAACTCAGCTTATGACTCAACCCCGCAGCACCTCACGACTTCATGTTAGTTGAGTCTGGAATAACTCCATTTGGTCGGGTCGGGTCGGGTCAGGTTTGGTCTGGTCGGGTCGGGTCCAATCTGGTCCTGGATAAGTCACTCGGTGTGCGGCCCTAACTCGTATGTTGGGCAGTGACGTCACGCTGTCTGACAGATGGTGACAGCATCATGACGTCATAGTGGAGGGACGGGGTGCGTGACGTCATAGGGGAGGGACGGGGTGCGTGACGTCATAGGGGAGGGACGGGGTGAGTGACGTCAGAAAGAAGAGCTTTGTTAACACCTTGTTCACCTGCTTCATTTCCCCCTGTCAGCAACATCTGTTCACACCTGTACCTGCCCGGACCACTTAACACCTGTCACCTGCCCGGGCCACTTAACACCTGTCACCTGCCCGGGCCACTTAACACCTGTCACCTGCCCAGGTCACTTAACACCTGTCACCTGCCCGGGCCACTTAACACCTGTCACCTGCCCAGGCCACTTAACACCTGTCACCTGCCCGGACCACTTAACACCTGTCACCTGCCCGGGCCACTTAACACCTGTCACCTACATGTGTACTGTATATAAATGCTCATAGGCTACAGCTTATGAGGTCAGAGCATTAACTATTTGTGTGTGTGTGTGTGGCTTTGGTCCGTGATGTGTACGAGCCGTAGACTTTTAAATCTATCTTCACTATTTCCCATTTTAAGGAAGAAATAGTTTTGTTAGTTAATAATAATAATAATTTGTGTCACTTAGCACTGTAGTTGTATGGGGAGCTTCATTAAGTGAGGGGGGGGTTAAAAAGGATTGTCACGTATGTTTGTTTGTAAATACTCACCACATAGGCCTTGCTTTCACCTGTTCAACCTAACGCTAACCTAACCTGACGCTAATCTAACGCTAACCTAACCTAACGCTAATTTAACGCTAACCTAACCTAACGCACTTTAACGCTAACCTAACCCTCAAATAGTGTTAGTTAGGGTTGGTTAATCTTCAGGTGATTCCAAAATTTATTCTTTAGTTAGTGTTCTTTGGGGTGAGTAAATTGGTTAAGGAGTGAGGACGTTGGCTGGGCGATGGTGGTGGTGGTGGTGGTGGTGGTGATGGTGTGGTGGTGGTGTGGTGGTGGTGGTAATGGTGGTGGTGGTGATGGTGGTGGTGGTGGTGGTGGTGGTGGTGGTGGTGGTGATGATGGTGATGGTGGTGATGGTGGTGGTGGTGGTGGTGGTGGTGGTGGTGGTGTGGATGGTGGTGGTGGTGGTGGTGGTGGTGGTGGTGGTGGTGGTGATGGTGGTGGTGGTGATGGTGGTGGTGGTGTGGTGGTGGTGGTGGTGGTGGTGGTGGTGGTGGTGGTGGTGGTGGTGGTGGTGATGGTGATGGTGGTGGTGGTGGTGGTGGTGGTGGTGTGGTGGTGGTGGTGGTGGTGGTGATGGTGGTGTAAGAGATAATAGATGATGGTGGTGGTGGTGGTGGTGTAAGAGATAACAGATTGTGGTGATTGTGATGGTGAGATGGTGGTGGTGGTGTAAGAGATAACAGATGGTGATTGTGATGGTGATTGTGGTGGTGGTGTAAGAGATACCAGATGGTGATTGTGATGGTGATTGTGGTGGTGGTGGTGTAAGAGATAACAGATGGTGATTGTGATGGTGATTGTGGTGGTGGTGGTGTAAGAGATAACAGATGGTGATTGTGATGGATTGTGGTGGTGGTGTAAGAGATACAGATGGTGATGGTGATTGTGATTGTGGTGGTGGTGGTGGTGTAAGAGATAACAGATGGTGATTGTGGTGGTGGTGTAAGAGATAACAGATGGTGATTGTGATGGTGATTGTGGTGGTGGTGTAAGAGATAACAGATGGTGATTGTGATGGTGATTGTGGTGGTGGTGTAAGAGATAACAGATGGTGATGGTGGTGGTGATTGTGGTGGTGGTGTAAGAGATAACAGATGGTGATTGTGATGGTGATTGTGGTGGTGGTGGTGTAAGAGATAACAGTTTACAGGGAAATAACACAGAGTTAGCCACGTCATCGCCCAAACCTGTCAGTGTGCTCGACCCATGGAATACCTCAACCCCTGTGTGTGTGTGTGTGTGTGTGTGTCTGTGTGTGTGTCTGTGTGATGGTGATTTACACGAGATTTACCTCCAATAGTAAAAATAAACAAACAAAATCACATGAATATCAAGTATTTACACAATCAAACGACAGACAGACAGACAGACAGACAGACAGGCAAAACAAAGTCTATTTCATTCATATTGTGTGTATATAAACAATAACAGCTGTTTAGTAATTACGGGTTATGTTTTGATAGCCACGATAAGGGACTAGTTTACGTACGATACCAAGCTGCAATTATCTCTGCTGCAGGGAGGAGTGCTGTACAAGGCTTGGTAATCAAATCTTTAATGTAAACGGCACACACACACACACACACACACATCAACAAGCTCTCTACACACTGGTTCAATGTTTAATATACACTTAGGAGAGTTTGTGACCACTGTAAGCGGTCAAGAGGGGGGTATATCAACACAATACATCCAAATGTTTACTACGATTATATCATCCAGCTTCTGAGAATGTCCTGCCGGCGGAAGTATATTGTAGAACATCAACATACACACTCACACATACTCACACTCCGATTCTGATTGTTGACATCATCCTGGTGACATCATGAGTGACGTCACCCCTCACCCAACAGGTCCACATCGACGAGTCAAAATAAAAACTAAATTATCCCGCTGTTGTTTTTTGTCACGTAACACACTGACGGTTTCAGTTGTTACGTTATCTTATTGTATACCGGTAACCTTTACTTGAGGATATAAATAAAGTGTCTTGGGTGTGTTATCGACTTATCGAGTGTATTTTTATCGTGTGATGTGAGAGGGTTATCGTACCACCGTTTATAAGGAGAGTTTTATGTAACTGTTGTGGGGGGTGAAGGAGAGAGAGAGAGAGAGATCGTACGTGTAATGCTTGATATTAACGTACTCTTGTCGTGCTGTAGGAGAGAAGTATCGTATGTTTTTTTTATTTTTTATTCATTGTTTATCTTTCATTTTTTTTTTTTTTTTGTGTGTTTGTACAGTGTGTTTGTTATTTGTTTGGTTATTATTCCATCCATCCATCCAACCAACCAACTAACCATCCATTCACCCATTCATTTCACTTATAATCTCTGTTTGTTGTGTTAAATATATGACCTCATCGACCACCACCTTGTAACTATACTTAACGTGGTGTTTAGGTTTCGACTCGTGTTTGTTTGGGTTGTAATAAATCAATGTTTTGATTGGTCGGTGTTGAGGGCAGAAGAGGTCGACTGTTTATCCTTATCTTCAGTGTGACAGGTGCTACTCATGTCGGTGTGTGTGTGTGTGTGTGTGTGTGTGTC